TTGTGGTCCAGTGCTTATCCTACAGCACCAGACCAGGGCTCAGCTTCAGAGCAGGCTTTGAATCTTTACAGGAACAAAAAGCCTCATCTTTCTCCCGCAGAGTTGGTAAATTCAAACTACTGAGCTTGCAGTTAGCAGCCCATTACACTACCAAGGTTCCTTCCTCAGTCACTATAAGTTGGAACTGACTTGATGGCAACAGGTTGGTGGTTTTGGATTATTTTGTGGCTTCTACCCATCATAGAGGAGCCCTGGTATGGCACTGTGGGTTAATGTGCTGGACTGCAAAGTTGGTTTGAACCACATGGTTGGCAATTCAATCTCACCGGCTGCTCCTTGGAAACCCTATACAGGGTCACTATGAGTCCCAACTGATTCGATAGCACACCAACAACAACCATTAAGTGTGGCACCATAGGATAAGCACTGGATTGTGAACCACAAGGTCAGCATTTCAAACCCACCAGCTGCTCTTCAGAAATCCCGTACAGGGTTGCTGTTAGTCAGAATCCACTCAGCAGCACTTAACAACAACAACACCCATTAGGCACCTGTTGTCGCTGCTGCTGTGGGAAGGTACCATGGAGTCGGTTCCAAATCATACCAATCCTGTATAGGCTTTCCAGGGTGTTAACCACTGACCGTGGACTTAACATCCAGTGCTTGTCCTATAGCACCCTGCCCTACGGTATTGTCAATTGCTCTATATGCATGTGGAAGCTATACAACATATAAGGAAGACTAAAGAACAATTGATGCCTGTGAATTATGGTGTTGGTGATGAATATTGAACATATCACAGACTATCAAAAGAACTAAGAAATCTGTGTTGGAAGAAATGTAGCTAGAATGCTCCTTAGAAGCAAGGCTGGAGAGATGTCATCTCACAGTTTGGGCATGTTATCAGGAAGAACCAGTTCCTAGAGAAAGACATCATGCTTGGTAAAGGAGAAAAAAACAAACCTAACCCAGTGCCGCCACCAAGTCTATTCCAACTCATAGTGAGTCTGTATAGGATTTCTGAGGCTGTGTATCTTTTTTTAATTTTATTTTTCTGCTTGTAAGCCAGTCACTTCTTGCCCTTGTAGCCCCTCCCCCCCATTTTGGGTAGCCAATGTCCAAGTTGCCCATCCCTGTCTACTCTGTGTATGGAGGGGGTGGGAATGATCCTTGCTGTAAAGATTTGTTCCCTCTTTTGAGCTACTGCATCCATAGGTGTAGGTCAAGTTCATCAAATTGTATCAGATTACTCTTTTTTCCTCTTCTTTCTTCTTCTAGTCGAGTTCTAGTCATCCGGCCATGAAAGCCAGGTCAAGTGGGTATTATCTGCAAGTGTGGGTGTTCTTGTGCATATCTCCTCACTTCTTATCAGCTGGATGCTTCACTCTCCACTCTAGTCCTCTGTGGCTATGTCACTGAGTCTGGGTCCAAGAGTCCCCAGGCCTTGCCATACTGCTGGCCAACCAGGTCTCCACCCGGGTTCACAGGAGTCTATTGAATGTGGTCAGACTTAGCTCACAACTTCATTGCTGGTTTTCCTTGCTTCCCCTTATTGGTGACCAACGTGTTCACCAGTCAGATTCATCTCATTGGGGGTCAGTGAAAAGGAGGAAGACCCTCAGTGAGATGGATTGACACAGTGGCTGTAACAGTGGGCTCAGACGTAGCCACCATGGTGAGACTGGTGCCGGATGAGACAGGGTTTCATTCTGTTGTGCATGGGGTCACAATGAGTCAGAAAACAATAGCAAGTGGTGTGTTGGAGCCAGAACCGACTGATTCACAAGAGGTGTGGGATGAGAATTACGTTTTCTTTCCTCTCCTAGCCTAGTCCCCATCCTCATTTTCTCTATCTGTAAAATGGGTGCCTTGGACTGGATGAACTCAGACCCTCTCAGACTAAACACTCAGAAGACCCAGAGACTGTGTTCCCACTCTCTCTGTAGATGCACTTGTCAGAAAGGTTACGTGGGAGACGGTGTGATGTGCTATGGGAACATTATGGAGCGGCTCAGAGATTTAAACACCGAACCCAGAGGGAAATGGCAAGGAAGACTGACCTCTTTCATCTCACTTCTGGGTATGTAGCTAGGGGTGTAGCTCCTTATAACCTAGACAAGGACTGCCCTTGTTCAGGCAAGGGTATCTGCAAGATACAATCATCCAAAGGGGTGGGCAGTTCTGGGGATTAGCCATTCTAGGGTGGTGCCATAGGGTTGGGACAGGAAAGGGCAGGCAGCTGTTTCCATGGAGATAAGAAGCAGTTAACACCAAGAGATCCAACAAAACAGAGAGCAGAGAGCTAAGAGTAAGGTCTTGGGATCACCATAGATGAATGGGTCTGTCACACCAACAGGGGCACAGGGGGAGCTACTTGGTGTTATGGGTCCCCAGATGTGGACAAAGGTTGGCAGGTACTGCTGAAGTAGGGAGTGACTAAGACCCTGAGACAATACCCATCCTCAATGACCATCTCACACATTGCCAGATGTTGAGCATCCTTAGCTCCCAGCTACTAACTGCCTATAGTGACACATCTCCCTAGACATCTCCCTAGACAGTGAGACAGCCTAAACATACTTACATGTCCCCTAATGCCCTCTAGGGCTCATTATCCCACATGGCCTTGAGGAGGAACCATCATAGCTGGTCACAGCATTGGGCAAGACATTGAATAAAACTCGGATTGGGCCAATCAACAGAAAATAAAATACAGACTTTACCAAACAGCAGAAGGCTGAAATATGAGCATCTAGATTTTACTAGCCATCAACAATGATTTCCCAGAAAGATCAAAGAGAGAGAAGTAAATGTCAGCCATGGTTCAATGCTGTGTTTGCCCATAAATCTTACCATACATCCTGTGTAAATGTCCTGCTCTTTCCAAGTGTCCTATGAAGACTCAGGCATTGCTGACCATCTAAGAGCTGTTAGAATATCAAGTGGGAGCAAACAGGAGTGACGAGTGTCCTTAGCAGACTGGGCCTCAAACGTTCCCCTGGTGGACATATCTGTCGCCTCTCCTGTGTGCTGGTACTTTCTGCCTATCTCAGGAAAGCACAGACCACATTCTGCTTTACAAGCTCCCCAGAGGTGATGGCAGCCGGACCAGCAACATATATGGAGGGTCCAGTACAAAATCAGAGTGTAGCACCCATTGTTCAAACATTACCGCGCATTTCAAGAGGGCAATAGCAGAGCAGTAAACCATGCCGGGTTCCTTCTATGCCAGTCATTGGTGGAAACATGGGCTGCTTCTGTGTGGCAATGGTGACAGCTCAAAATTGGGCGCAGGACCTCCTGGGATTGTCACAGGGTTTTGTCATGCGTCTCTCACAGAAGCTCAAATCCCAAGATTTCCCCAGAGCTAAAGAGAGGACTCCTGGTGTGGCACTACTGGATAATGCACTGGCAAGCAAGGTCGGTTTGAACCTCAAGGTCGGAGGTTCAAGTTCACCAGCTGCTCCTCAGAAACCCTATACAGGGTCACTATAAGTCAGAACTGACTCAACAGCACTTAACAACAACAAAAAAGCCATGACTGCAGGGAGAATCCCACAGGGTTACCTGGAACATATTTGGGCAACATGAGTCCTTATAGTCTTAGTTCCCCAAAATAAAAAATGCTTCTGCGTGCCTATTAAAACAGAAAGGCTCTTGGTTTACTCTATACATACATTTGATGTTTTTCTTTGTGTATTTCAATACCTAAGATAAAGCTTATTCCTGGCCATTAAGTAACCTGGGACCATTCACTGTGCTGTTACCAACAGACAAAGGACTGAAAGGACTCAATGTAAGTATTTAAACGATTACATTGTACATACAAGGGCAGCCACACCAAACGGCTAATGTAATAAACCTTACAGAAAGTATACAAACCCTAACTGTACAACTCAATGAATTTGCACAAAGTGAACATATCTGTGTGTCCAGCAAGACTATTACCAGCACCCTGTAACTTCCTGTGCCCTCTGCCAGTCATCACCCTATCCAATGATAGGGATTAAGGGTGTTGAACAAATAATCAGGTTATAAATATGATTTACTGAATGCAAACCCGTCACTCTCTATAGGAAGAATCAAATGAACATAAAGTATGTTTCTTTACATTGTCATAAATGGTAATAGTTACAGGTGAAACTAGAAGAAAATTTTAGTCTCTCAAAAAAAAATTTTTTAATGTGTCTTTAGGTCAACATGAGCAGCTGTGGTTTGAGATAATGTCATTCAGGGGCATGAAGAATCCCAGTGCCTGGTGTCTTACTACCATGATATCAATGGAATTGATATTTGGTTTAACAGAACTGATAGACTTATTGGTATGCATTAGATTGATTTACCTTAATCCAAGATATTTTGTGGTGATCATTTTTACTGCTTTGACCAAAAACCCAGTAAGTTCTAGACTCTCTCACTCTAATATACCACCTCTGTTAATCGAGCTGAGATGTATCTGTCATTAATATTCAGAAATATCTTCACAGCTTTTCTACTGAGGAAGAGAACTAGCAAATATTGAATGTCTCTGAGCTAGGTCCTTTGTGTATGGTCTCTTGTTTAATACATAGGTTAAGTTTAAGCTTCCACAGTCCCTGCATGGTGCAAACTGTTAATCTACTCAGCTACTAACCAAAACATTGACGATTCGAGATTACCCAGAGGTGAGTCAGAAGAAAGGCCTGGTGATCTTCTAAAACATGAGCCTTTGAAGATCCTAAAGAGCATATGTCTACTCTGACACATACAGGATCACTGTGCATTGGAATTGACTTCATGACAACTGTTTTTTGTTTTATTTTCAAGTTTGATGCTGTTCAATGCCATCACCAAGTTGATTCCAACTCATAGGGACCCCATGTGACAGAGTGAAACTGTCCCATAGGTTTGGGCTGTGATAATTAAGGAAGCGATTACTAGTCTTTCTACTGCATAGATGCTGGGTACATTTGAACCACCAACTTTTCAGTAAGCAGCCAACCTCTTAACCATTACACTGCCAATGCTTCTTTTTAAAAATTTTACAGAGTTAATAAAAGAAGTATCTGCTGATTTTATTCACTGTATAATAGTGACAAAATTTAGCTTTGGTCCAAATGGATTTTTTTTTTTCTCTTTACTATTCAAAATCACCATCATCAGTCCAATCCTTTTTCACATAATGGCATATTTATTCCCATCTGCCCCTTGGGTTCAAGATCGATTCTTTGGTGCCTGCTGCCTCCGCCCTTTTCAATACCGCGACAGTTCAGCCAGATATTGACAGCAGACTGTGCATCTCTCCAGCTCTTCACATCGCCACTCCTTTAAAGCCTGGACCAGGGTACCGATCTCTGGGAAACCCATCTACATTGAAAAGAGTTCAAATCCCAGATAGTGTGCACTGGCTTTGATGACTTTGATGCTAAACATAGCATACTGTGAATCACATACTTCACCTTCTCCTTCAAACAATAGCCTGCTATCTTTTCTTAGGTCAAACAGCTTTTGACGAATAATGAGGCTGCTCGGTACTTTGTGAAACTGCACATCATTGCTGGGCAGATGAGCACAGAGCATTTGAATTCCACAGACACCTTTTATACCTTGACGGGAAAGTCCGGGGAAATCTTCAATGGTGATAAGGTAGGAATTTCTCTGAGTTTCACTTCAGTAACTAAACTGTTGACTAAGTCAATGCCCCTTGACTTTTTTCTCTTTGTATTTGGGGCTTATGGAAGTTTTCAGAAACTTCTCACCTTATTCCTTATTTGTCAAAGCACGTTTCCTTTGTAGGAAGAAGCTGAAAGCAACAAAAGTCAGTGTCAGGAAGGAAGGGGTAGATTGTTTGGCAGTGTTTGGGTTGGGCCTGGGTCTGAATTTGTTTTCAAGGCAACCATCATTCATCTGCCAGCAGGAAGGAGAAACTTTGCTGTAACCTTGTTTCCTGGAAGCATCAGCATAAAGCCAGATAGGTTGTTTTTTGGTTTTTTTGTTTTGGTTTTTTTGTTTTTTTGTTTTTTTTTTAAACAAAAGGAAATTGTTTATTCTAGATTGCTTTAGATGGGTTTATCCATCCTCTCCAACTTAACCATCCATCTCTCTTCATGCCATTAGTTCTGTTTTGTTCGTTTCCAAATAAAACTCCCCTCCTGCCATTCACAACTAACTTTTCCTATGATTTTACTCCCATTACTGAGCTGGGGGCAAGGGATCCATCAACAGATGTGCTGTCGGGGTTATGACCATTGCATTTCACCAGCTAGCAATAGCTGCTCCAACTGTGGCATGCTCATTTTGTGCAAGGCCCTGGGAGAAACTTGTGCTTTTGTTGCATAAGGTTCACAACGATTATCCATGGGTTTGAATTTATGGCTGGCCCACTCCAGAGAGCTTCTCATAGTGTCCCACGCCAGAGCAAACTTAGCCCCAAATCACTGCCTGGCCTCCTTGCCCGCAGGTCATGGGCACTGAAATGGGCTGCACAGTGGAAAAAGAAGGCAGCTTTATCATTCTTCCAGTTGTTCCCATGGAAAACTGAGAGGTCATTGATCTGCCTGACTCCAAAGGCTGCATCATTAACCAGCATGTTGTAATGTGTGCAGGAGGATGGATGGGTGGGTAGGTAGGTAGGTAGGTAGGTAGGTAGGTAGGTAGGTAGGTAGGTGGATGAATGGATAGAGTGATAGAGACAGGTGGATGATAGATAGATATGGACACATGGCCTTCTTCATCACAAGGACATATATTCATCCATTCACCAAATACTTACTAAATCTGAAACACATAGGCCCTGCAGTTGGAAGAAAGAATTCGTTTCAGCTATTAATTCAACCAGTACACACTCTATTATTTTTCTTCTCTGTACAAGACACTAAAGTAGGTGATGAATTTATAATAAATGGTCCAGTCTCATGGAGTTTGCAGTCCTTGTACTCCTTATAATGCCTTATCCACATTGAGCCTGTAGTAGTCATCACTGATCCCATTTTCTCTTAATAAAAGTCCTGTGTCATTAGACAAGCAGCTACCTTAATCCCCATTTCGGTTAAAAGACCCACCAAGATCTCACAGCCAATAATGGCGCAGCCCAAGGACTCAGGACTTCTGACTCCTCGTTTTAGTGCTCCTTCTGAGATACACTACATTAGCTTTCTTTTTTCTTGGTGTTTTAGGACAATCAACTTAAGGTCAAACTTTATGGAGGCAAAAAGAAGGTAAAAATTATACAGGGCAACATTATTGCTTCCAATGGGCTCATGCACATCATCGACAAAGCCATGGACAAGACGGACCCCACATTTGAAAGCAACACTGAGGTGGGTTGTTTCAGGTGAAAGCGATGCCAACCCAGAACCCAGATCCATCTGTCTTTGTGCCCTGGAGAGCCATATCCAAGAAGAAAACTTCTGCCATTGACATATGTACTTAGACCCCAAGCACATGGAAGATAGGATAATTCATATCTGCTTTCAGTGTAATTGTAGGTACATCTGCAGAGAGAAAGAAAGGCACAGAGTAGGCATAGGCACCTTGTTTCCTTTTGTGACCTCTCTTACGTATGCATCTGACAATTAAATCTAACAGCCAGTTGCCATGATGATGTATTCCTTATGCTTTATGCTTGACTCACTCTGATCTATATGATGCTGGCCAAAGATTACTTCAGAACATACAGGTCCAAATTACTATTTAAATAACCATAGTAAACATTTGTATAATGCACTGAAGCTTATCAGATCTTTTTATATCTATCTAAAAAGCTTTATGTGTAACTGTAGAGCTACAAGTATATACATATTTATACATACATTTTTACTAAATGAAATGCATTATTGTAATATATTCACATAAACTCTCACCTGCTTTTAAATGTCAGGGTTTCTATTTCCTAAGCCGCCTTATTTTTTACTGATTTTTACGTAAAATGTCTCTTTTTAGCAAACCATAATGACAATGCTACAACCAAGATTCAGCAAATTCAGATCTTTACTAGAGGTATGTACTTTCATGAATTTCTGAAAAATGTTATATGTCCAGTTCTTTGTGAAATTAGCAGAGGTGTCCATTCAAAATATTTGCTGGGGAATTGTTCCAAATAATTATCTAAAGTATGTTTCAATTTATATGAAATTTCATTTCTCAAACACAGGAAACCAACGTGGGACATGCCTTAGATGAGGATGGGATTGGTGGACCATACACCATTTTTGTTCCAAGTAATGAAGCATTAAATAACATGAAGGATGGCACTCTTGATTATCTCCTTTCTTCAGAGGTATAGTATCCTCATCTGATGACATTGTGTCCGCACCACTGCCTCCTTCTATGTCTTCACAGGCCTCTTCTAAAATAGGAACGGCAAATAATAGCACATGTATTACCACCAGTGTTCCCACAATCAAGGCAGATCAATCACAGCACTCTAGAACTAGGTCTTGATATAGCTTTAATTTCCTTCTCAGCAGTTTCCAGTAGCCTAAGACCAGTCACTCAGACCAGGCACAGAAAACAAAATCTTTTTGCAACCATACATCTCAATGGTTGGTTTATTTTGTCCTGGATGTTCTAGTATTTCTACATATTAAGACCAGCATTTTAAGTTCCCCTGAACTCTAAATCCACTTTCAGACTGATGCCTAGGTCATTTGGGGCCAGGCTTGGGTAAATTTAAAAAGGGATAAATGTTCTTTTAGATGCTTTTCAACACAACATTTTAGTTTTTTCTTTCTGTTGCCTTCATCTTCCTTCATAATACCAAAAACAAACCAAACTCACAGCCATCAAGTCTTTCACAACTCAGAGTGACCCTGTGTAGAGTCTCTGAGGCCGTAAATATTTACAGAAGCACAAAGTCTCCTCTTTCTCCTGTGGAGCAGCTGGGTTTGTTCTAGCAGCCCTGGGGCTCACAGTCCAGTGCTTATGCTACAGTGCCCCCAGAGCACCTGCCCTCCATGATAACCCATGGTGGCTTGCTCCATACGATACACACTGGACTGCCAACCACAAGGTCTGCAGTTCGAGCCCAGCTGGTCCACAGGAGAAAGATGAGGCTTTCCATTCCTGCAAAGGTTTTAAAAGCCTCAGAAACCCTATACAGAGTCTCTATAAGTCAGAACCATCTCGACAATACCTTACAATAACAATATAACATGCCTTCCAGTAGATCCTGACTCATAGCAACTCCTTTAGACAGAGTAGAACTGCCTCGGAGGATTTCCAAGGCTGTAAATCTTTCCAGAAGCAAACTGCCATGTCTTTCTCCCACAAAGCTGAAGAGAAGGAGGGCTAATTATGAGATGCTGTTGATGAGAAAGTCAAATGGTGACATTTTATGAAAGACCAAATGCTGTCTTCCAGGTCCCTGAAATCATGCCACCAGATTCTGGTGACAGTCACAACTATCTATAACCTCATACAGATCAATGTTGATTATACAGAATAGGGGGGAGGGCGGGTGCCCAAATGTTTTAGGGTGCTGATCCCCAAATGTTAGCTTAGGAACTTGTTGGTGGGTTTCAGAGCCTGGCCCCAAGCATTCTGACTTAGTGAAGAGTTTGGGGAGACATTGTCTTCTGGCTCAGGTAAGCTCAGGGATCACTGGTTCCAGAATCCTGAAACTTGCTGTTGCCTGTCTGGGTTAGGTGTTCACATACACACACATTCTTCTAGAATACATTCACGTGTCTACAAGGATATTTTGCTTTCAGAAAACGTTGGGAGATAAATCAGGAGATAATCTCTTTCACTGCAAACACATCTTCAACATATTAAAATATCTGGTCATTTCAAAAGCCAAAACTCCCAGTGTGTTTAATATAGGATTTTACATAGATACAGATACATAGCTCCCAGAGGACAATGTCCTGACCCTGTGGCCTAGGCACAGCCAGGATGGTGGCTGGCAGGCAGATATGTGTTTGTGAAGATAATGGCACAGAATTATAAGTTAAGACCATTTTAGAAAGTCTAGAATGTAGTCTTAGACATTCTGATGCAGGGAGACAGAAGAGTAGAGTGATCTTGTCCTTAGGCCTATGTCCTTAGGAGAAGTCCTGGTGTGGTGCTGTGGGTTAATGCACTGGACTACAAGGTCAGTTTGAACCACAAGGTTGGCACTTCAAGCTCACCAGTCACTCCTTGAAAACCCTATACAGGGTCTCTATGAGACTCTAAGTTGGAACCGACTCGACAGCACTTAACAACAACACATCCTGAGTTGGAGTCCTACTGTAGAGATAAGCACTGGACTCCAAGTTTGGTTTGAACTGCAAGGTCATCAGTTCAAATCCACAAGCTGCTTCTTGGAAACACTTTTCAGGGTTGCTATGAGTTGGAATCTAGTCAACAGCACTTAACAATAACAATGTCCTTAGTTATCTTCCTGACTTCAGGAATGTCTTTTAAAACTCTGCATTTTCACACATTGTTGTTGTTGTGTGCCGTGGAGTTGGTTCCAACTCATAGAGACCCTGTACAGGGTTTCCGAGGCTGTAAATCTTTACAGGAGCAGAAAGCCTCATCTTTCTCTCGTGGAACAGCTGGTAGTTTCAAACTGCTGACCTTGAGGTTCGCAGCCCAATTCATAACCACTACACTACCAGAGCTCAGTTCCTACATCCAATAAGGATTAAATGTTCTGTTAAAGGCAATATTTCACAACAGAGCGTCACAGAGAGTAGCTGTTTTGAGATGGAACATTTCTCACCTTACATCTCCCAATCCTGAGATTATGGATACTTTATTTTTTCTTAACAAAGTCTGAGGAGGCTCCCACAAGGAGGAGAGAATGTTGTGCTTTCTTCATTGGCTAAACAATCATTTTGGTTCCTTTGCAGGGTTCTCGGAAGCTTCTAGAACTCGTCAGATACCATATTGTCCCATTTACCCAGGTTGGTCCCACTGTTCCTGCCTTTGTTTTTCTATGTTTCCAGATATCGGGCTCATCTTAAATTCCAATATCTTTGTGCTAAGAAAAGTATGATGATTAAACTTTCTCTGTGGCTCTAGGGGAATCCTCAGCCTCGCATAATGAGTCTGTTATTGAAGGAATCTGCAAAGCCACAAGAACTGACATCAAAGCACTCGTTGTTGATTTCAGGATCTTGAGGGCTATTTTTTTCTGATAAAGACTAAAAAAAATCAAGGATCTGTTTGCTGTTCTACATGACCCTATCTATTTTCCTTTCAGCTCGAAGTGGCTGCTCTCATTTCAAGCCCTCACATCAGAAGCATGGCCAACCAGATCATACAGTTTAATGTGACCAACAATGTAAGTGAAAAATCATTCCTTGGATGTATTTTTGCTTTGATTATGACTACTCACCAAAGATATCCTACATGGCACTGTAGGATAAGCTCTGGACCACAAGGTCAGTTTGAACTGCAAGGTCAGCAGTTCAAACTCGCCAACCACTACTTAGAAACCCTATATAAGGTTGCTATGAGTCAGCCGCACTTAACAACAACAATACTAATGTACAGACAAAATCTTAATGCTTATTTAATTCATTTGTTAACTCTTGCAGCAAATATTTGCTGAGCAATTGCCTTGGAGAGTCTAAGCTAGATGCCAAAGAAAATGCAATAAAAAAGGTTGACGTCCCAGTAGGGAAAGTAGACTTGAAACAACTAAGAAGGTGAATGGTTAGATATTTAAAAACAATTTTAATAAAGGTCACCAACAAGACATTTAAGGGACTGTCGGTGGTTCAAGCTCACCAACTGCTCCTTGGAAACCCTATACAGGGTCACTATAGGTCAGAACAACTCGAGGGCACTTAACAACAACAACAAGAGCACATAACAGGGGCAGTCTGAGCTCATCAAAAGGTCTTGACATGTCCAGTGAGGAAGTGACGTTTGGGCCAAGCTTTGAAGGAGGCATGGGAAAGAACTTGGGCAGAGATGAGTGGAAAAGCATTCTAAGCAGAAGGAGAGCATGTGCAAGGGCCTTGAGGTAGGCGGGAACATGACTTATTTAAGAACTCAAAGACAAGGTTATTCAACAAAGGAAATACTGGGCCTGTAGTAACAGCAACAGTCTAATAGTATACAGCTTTATCTCCTGTAGATTCATTGATGACAATGATGACCACTCATCCTTCCAACAAATATCCATTGAGGGTCTACTATGTTCCAGGCACTGGTCTCGGTGCTAGAGATAGACCAATGAACAAATGGACAAAAGTCCCTGGTTGCATGGAACTTTTTAGTCTAGTAAACAGGGGGATAGACAATTAAAAGTTAAAGAAGTCAAAGGTATCATATGTTAAAGAGTGAGAAGTACTAAGGGAAAGCAATAAAGCCGTGAAGATGAGTAGAAAGTGTCAGGGCGAAGGCATAGGCTGACATTTAATATATAAAATGCCTAAGAACTCTTCACTAAGAAGAAAATGTCTGAGCAAAGATTATGTGTGACAGCCTGGAGAAAGGGCATTCTACCGGGAAGGAACAGCAAGGTCATTGTGGTTGGAATCAAGGGGAAAATGCTTGGTTCTCTGGATTGAATTGTGTCCCCCGCAAAATAAATTATGAAATTCCAGTAGAGATGTTAGGGGTTGATTGGTGATCTGCTGTGTCTCTCCTCTTCTTATAAGGAAGGACATCAGCCATACTGGATAAGAGCCCATCCCACTCCACTCTGACCTTATGTCAACTTTACTAATTATATCTGCAAAGACACTATTTCCAAACAAGGTCACACTCATGGGTACTGGGAGTAAGGCCTTGAACATACCTTGCAAAGTAACCTATAACACCTATACCTACAAATACGGCTTTGTTTTTCTTATATCTGGAAATAGAGGGTTATCTTTTGTTATGTTATTTCCAGTATAGGGTGGGTCCTAAACCTAATTACTTCTGAGTTATACAAAGTGCAGAAAATACACAGATACATTCAGAGGGACCATATGAAGACAGACACATATGACAAGTGCATATATAAAAGCCCAGGAACTTCAAGAATGCCAACTACTAGAAGCTGAAATAAACAAAGAAGGATCTTCCCCTAGAACCCTGAATTTGGACTTCTAATCTTTTGAACTGTAAGAAAAATGCATTTCTCTTCTTCATAGTCACCCATTTGTGGTATTTGTGTTAAAACAGCCCTAGGAAACTCTAGGGTCATATATGGCCAAAGAGGTCATGGTAAAGACCTAGGCTCTTACTTGAATTGAGGTAAGTAGCAATTAGAGAATTTTGAGCCATGGACTTAGCACAGGCATACATTTTCATCAGGTTACTCTGGTTGCAGCAAGGGAAGGTAACAAAGGCCAATGACAAGAAGACTGGCTGAGGTTACTGTAATTATCCAGAGAAAGGATTCTGACTCAGACTAATGTAGTCACAGGCAGGTAGTAGGAAGTAATTGAATGCTGAATATATTTTAAAGGTTGACCCAACTGAATTTACTGGAAGACTGAATATGGAATGGAGAGGAAACCAAGAGGGACTCCAGGGTTTTTTATTTGAGCAACCAGAGGAGTGGCTTTATCATTGGTTAAGATAAGGAATACTGCAGGTAGAACAAGTTTGGGGTGGGGGAAGTGGGGATAAGAATTTGTTCATTTTCTACTTCCTTCACTTGAACATAAATTAGAATTTGTTTGTGTTCACAGATAGATCCTTAGTTCGTAATTCAAAATCAATGTTTTAAATGAAATCCTCATTTCACTGCAGAGGAGAAAAACAATTTACCAAGGAGTACATAGCACTTATATTGTAGAGTTTGGAGAATTATATCTCTCCCCACACCCAGCATCTGGGAGGACATTTTCCTACAAGTCTCACTTCTTGTGAGAACATCCTGGCCTGATGTAATAGTTTCCTAGGATTGACACATCAAAGTACCATAAATTGGGTGGCTTAAGACAAGAGTGGACTCCTGATTTGGTGCTCATCGATAATCACTGAACTGCTAACCACAAGGTCGGCAGTTCAAACCCACCAGCTGATCTTTGGAACACCTGTACAGGGTCTCTGAGTAAGAACCAACTTGAGGGCACTTCATGACAACAAGACAACAGAAGTTTATTCTCTCTCAGTTCTAGAGGCTAAAGTTCCAAATTCAGGGAGTTGGGAGAGCCACACTCTCTCCAAAAGCTCTTGGGAAAGATTCTTCCTTTTTGAAGGCCATCTTCCCTTTGTGTCTCTCTTCTTCTTCTAAGGTTCCCAGTCATGCTAGATGAGAGTCCATCCTTCTCCAGTATGACCTCATGGCAACATAACTAATTACATCTGCAAAGATGCTGTTTCCAAACAAGGTCACATAGGTACTAGGAGTAAAGACTTGAACATACCTTTTTGGGAGAACAAAAATCAAGCCATAATACCAAGTCAAGAATTCATATCACAGTCGTATGTCCCTGTCAATCAAATTCTTCTCAGAGCAGCTCTCGCCCAATTAAGTGAAGTGAGTCATTTAGTGAGGTCACTGCCACTCAGACCCACCTGGTACTCCTGCAATACCAAGTGGAAAATGCCATGCTTCTTTGCAGGGACAGATTCTTGCGAATGGTGTGACCATCGAAGAAACTGAGGTCGCTGCCAAAAATGGCCGAATTTACACCCTGACTGGAGTCCTCATCCCTCCTTCTATCATCCCAATCCTGCCTCACCGATGTGATGAAACCAAGAGAGAACTGAAATTGGTAAGAAGACCAGGAAATAAACAAGCAGCCAGTCCCTCATTGCCAACAACGCTCCAGTCCCCAGAGCTCTGGCGAGCTGTAACCACTGGTACCTTGTACCTTAGGGGTTTCTGTTTTCATGAAGAGACAGGTGGGCTTGTGATCATATTCTCCAAGTTCTGTGGAGAATTTCCACAGGGTTCCAGGACCAGATGGAGGTCGCCCTCCCCCATGGGACTCAGGGTCAGCCTCTTCCTTACCATGATCCCTGTCACCTGGGACCACCTGCTCCAGGCCTCCAGTTTTTCTTCTCTCTAAAAGGGACTTTCAGTAGAGTTTCTTTCTCTCAGGTAGATGATATATATGGCCAGCTGATAACAAGCTTTCCATAGTTCTTTTCAAATACCAAATTTTCTTTTTTCCTAGGAGACTGTGTACCCTCTAATGGCCTTTTCTATTTCCATAGCAACTTCGTGGCTCTGCCAGCTTTTATCAGCATGCCCCAAATGTCAGCCTTGCTGTACGTGCTTGGTTCCCAGGAAAATCATAACCTTACAGTTGTAGCAATAATAGATCTGGGCCTTTCTTTTCAAGACACATCAATAATATCTTCATTGTTCTCACAATATAGTTAGAACATGGACATTGAACAAGGAATTAAAAACACAAAAACAACAAAAAACACCTCATTGCTGTCCAGAGGAGTCCTGGTGTGGTGTTCTAAGATAAAGACTCTACCACAGCATTGGTTTAAACCACAGATGGGTGGTTCAGACTCACCATCTGCTCCTCAGAAACCCTATACAGGGTCGCTATGAGTTAGAACCAACTCCATGACACTTAACAACAGCAATAACAGTCTTCACAGAAGCGGATCACGAGGTTGTTCTTCTGCAGTCACTGTGTGGGTTTGAACCACCAACCCTGTAGGTTGCACCACAGAGATATTTGGACAAGAAATGATGATCCCCTTTGATTTACTTTATTTTTTTTTCCAATTGATGTCAGAGGAATTCTAAATAGTTTTATCTTTTTCATGATTTCTTTTTTTTTTTTCTTTTTAACTGCCTTTCCCATCAAGTTAGCACATGTTTACCCTCTGGCCAGTGAATAATTCTCCCTTCCTTCCTACCCAAGGTAGCCATCAGAGAATTTTTTTTAGCATGAAAACCTTTTTCTTGGCTTCTTACAATAGTGATCTCACACAATATTTGTCCTTCTATGACTGTCTAATTTCACTCAGAATACTGTTTTCCAGACTCATCCATGTCATGAGGTATTTCACAGATTCATCACTATTCTTCAGCACTGAAGAGTTGCATTGTTTGTATTTACCAAAGTTGTGTAACCTTTCTTCTGTTAAAATGGACATTTAGACTGTCTCCATCTTTTGCTTGTGAATAGTGCTGCACTGGACATGGTTGTGCATGTGTCTATTCATGTCACAACTCTTGATCTCTTGAGTAGAGGGACTGCTGGGTCATATAGTATTTCTAGTTTCATGTTTCTGAGAAAGCGCCATACTGTTTTCCATAGTGCTTGCACCATTTTACAGTTCCACCCGCCGCATAACGGGGGCCTCATCTCCACACCCTCACGAGCATTTGTTGTTTTCTGTGTCTTTAAACTTTGCTATTAATGTTGAGATAAAATCAGGTCTCATGGTTGTTTTCATTTGCACCTCTAATGGCTAATGAGCTCTGGTATGGCATTGTAGGATAAACACAAGACTACTAACCACAAGGTTGGCAGGTCAAACCTGCCAGCTGTTCCTGGGAAACCCTATACAGGGTCGCTAAGTTGGAACCAACTCAACGGCACTTAACAGTAGCTAATAATTACGAAAATTTCTTCATATGTTTGTTGGTTGTCTGAATGTCTCCTTTGATGAAGTGTCTATTCATGTCTTCTGCCCGTTTTTAAATTGGATTATTTATCTTGCTCTTGTTGAGGTGTTGAAGTGTTCTGTAAATTTTAGACAGTAGCCCCTTGTCTGATATGTTATTGCCAAACATTTTTTCCCAGTCTGTGGGCTCTCTTTTAACTCTTTTGGTGAAATACTTTGATGCACATAAGTGTCTAATTTTTAGGAGTTCCTAGTCATCTGTTTTGTCTTCTGCTGTTTGTGTGTTTTCAGTTATGATTCATAGTGTATGTATGCCATATAGCTGAACCTTTCAGTTTGTCCCTATTTTTTCATTGATAACCTTTATAGTTCTAGGTTTTACATCTAGGTATTTAATCCATGTTGAGTTTGGTTTTGTATACAGTGTGAGATACAGGGCTTGTTTCATTCTTCTTATTTGCAAATAGATTTCTAGTTTTGCTAGCGTCATTTGTTGAAGAGACTATCTCTTTTTTTAATATGTTTTGGCTCTTTGTCAAAGATAACTGAGCACAAGTGGATGGATTTACTTCTGGGTTTTCAATTCTGTTCAATTCTGAATTTTTTCAATTCCATTAATCTATGTGTCTTTCCTTGTACCAGCACCAGGCTGTTTTGATTACTGTGACTCTGTAGTAGTACATTTTGAGATCCGGAAGTGAGAGGTCTCCTGTTTTGTTCTTTTTCAGTAATACTTTGCATATCTATGGTCTCTTTCCATTCCATAAAAAATTAGTAATTTGTTTTTCCATTTCTTTAAAGAATGTTGAAATCTGGATAGGGATTGCATTATATCTGTAAATTGAGTAGTATTGACATTTTCACAATGTTAAGTCTTTCTATCCATGAGCATTATATATTTTTCCATTTTTGTAGGTCTCTTTTGGTTACTTGTAGCAGTATTTTGTAGTTTTCTTTGTATAGGTCTTTTGTTTCTCTGGTTAAATTAACTCCTAATTTGTATTTCGTCTTTGGGGTGGTCATTATAAATGGTATTGTTTTCCTGATTTTTTTTTTTCAGAACTGTCTTTATTAGTATAAAGGAAACCAACTGATTTTTGCTTGTTGATCTTGTGCCCCATCACTTTGCTGAATCTTTCAATGAGTTCCAATAATTTTCTTGGTTAATATTTGTGGTTTTCTATGTTTAGGATCGTATCATCTGCAAATAGAATTATACTTCTGCTTTGTCAATGTGGATACCTTTCATTTCCCTTTCTTGCCTTATAGCTCTAAGACTTATTGCACAGTATTGAAT